TCCCGGTCTGGGCACATGCCCGGGGTTGCAGACTCCATCGCCAGGAGGGGGACGCAGGGGGCAGCCAATCAGTGATGTTTCTCTCTCAGCGATGTTTCTACCTCTCTCTCTCCCTCTCACTTTTTCTCTCTCGAAAGATCAATAAAAGCATTTATTTATTATTATTTTTTTAAATAGTTGTTCTAGCCCTAATTGGTTGGCCCATTGGATAGAGCGTCGGCCTGCGGACTCAAGGGTCCCGGGTTCAATTCCGGTCAAGACGTACCTTGGTTGGGGGCATATCCCCAGTAGACGGTGTGCAAGAGGCAGCTGATGGATGTTTCTCTCTCACTGATGTCTCTGACTCTCTATCCTCTCCCTTCCTCTCGGTAAAAAATCAATAAAATACATTTTAAAAAATGTATATATTTGTATTGAGTCCAGATAGGATGGGAGAGAGAGAAACATCAACGATGAGAGAGAGTCATTCCTCTCCTGTCTCCTGCACGCCCCACACTGGGGATCAAGCCTACAACATGGACATGTGCCCTGACCGGGAATCGAACCCTGACCTCCTGGATCGTAGGTCAATGCTCCACCACTGAGCCGCGCCAGCCGGGCCCAGCCAGGACATTTGAAGGGGAGAGAGGTAAAGAAGATCGTGTGATGCTCCAGTGATTCTATTTCTGCAGCTCTTTCCGGCCAGGACCAGGGAGCAGCCGAGTGAGAAATGGGCCCTCGGGGTTCTCCGGAGAGGCAGCGTGTCACACCTTGCTTTGAAGGTGACCAGGTGCCGGGACATTTCCATTTCCTGCCCTCTAGCAGCACTCAGCGTTCATCCACACATTGTGACCTAAATAGACTTTGGTCTGTTGTTTTTTTCATTTTAAAGAAACATGGCCAAGAAATGAAATGGTGTCCTCGCAGGTGTGGCTCAGAGGACAGAGCGTCGGCCTGAGGGCTGAAAGGTCCCAGGTTCAATTCCAGTCAAGGGCACGTACCTTGGTTGCTGGTACGTCCCCAGTAAGGGGTGTGCAAAAGGCAGCTGATGGATGATTCTCTCTCATCCATGTTTCTAACTCTCTATCCCTCTCCCTTTCTCTCTGTAAAAAATCAATAAAAATATATTTCAAAAAATATTTTTAAAAACCCTCCATATCCTTACAGCGGTTGAGCCGTAGCTGGGCGGCTTAACCCACAGGCGTTTGGGTTAAGAGGCTGGACGTTCAAGATCAAGGTTAGCTGCCCCCTGAGGCCTCTGTCCTCGGCTGGCCATCTGTCATGTCCTCACACGGCCTTTCCTCTGAGCATGTCTGTGTCCCACTTCCTTCTTTTTAAGGACACGGAGTCTTAGCTCGATCACTTCCTTCAAGCACGCAGTCATAAGCACTTGACTGGCATGGAACCTGGGACCCTTGAGTCCACAGGCCGATGCTCTAGCCACTGAGCAAAACCGGCCAGGGCCAGATATGTATTTTTTTTTTTTTTTTAAAGAATGCTGCCACCAGCTCCTGTTTCTGAGCCGGGGGGGGGGAGGGCTCTTCAAGACTCTCCTACCTGGTGTTCTGGCGTGTTCACCTGGCAAACACTGGAGCCACCTTGCTCTGCACCTGGCCTGTGGTGTTGGGTGTAACCCAGCTGTGCACGTGGGAGGAGGACTTCCCTGCAATGGCCCCCAGGGGGCGCTGTGTGGCCAGGCCAGGCCAGGTCCCACTTGACCCAGCTCCCTGGAGGTCCAGCACTCAAGGCACCCTTAGGTTGCCGTGTACGGACGCTGGTGCACACCGTGAAAAGAGGGTTTCGGACCCCATCCCCAGGGTGGGGCGTGCAGGAGGCAGCTGATGGATGAGTCTCTCTCATCATGGATGTGTGTCTCTCTCTCTCCCTCTTCCTCTCTCACATGAATAAAAATATATTTTAAAAATACATACATAGCCCTAACCGGTGTGGCTCAGTGGATAGAGCATCACCCTGCAGACTGAAAGGTCCCGGGGTCGATTCCGGTCAAGGGCATGTACCTTGGTTGTGGGCACATCCCCGGTGTCGGGTGTGCAGGAGGCAGCTGATCCATGTCTCTCTCTCTCATCGATGTTTCTAACTCTCCCTTCCTCTCTGTAAAAAAAAATCAATAAAATATATTTACCAATAAATAAATAAAATGAAGTAGCTTTCTGCTACTCCTGAGCGGGCATCCGTCGTACCAGGGCGAGACCCTACCCAGAGAGCCCTCTCAGCAAACTCTGATGAGAGCAGTTGTCACTTTCCCCACAGAGGCCTGTGGACACAGCCTGCAGTGAGCATCCTGGACCCTCCCCTGCCCCCCACCCCCCACCCCCGCCAGCTCCCCCATTGCCAGCATCATGCGTACAAATGGCACACAGAGACGGTGCCAAACCACTGAGTTCTGACCCCAGGAAACACGCCTGCTTTCATCCAAGGCCCCGAACAGAGGGAGCTCAGGTGTCGCTTCCGGCCTGCCGGCCTCTGAAAGCAGCTTTTGTCTTGCTCCGGGACCGGAGCGTCGCGTTTGTCCTGAGCGCACGCAGACGAGGGCAGCGGCTCCCGAGTTGGCACCGCTGGGCGGCTCACGGCGGAGACGGAAGGCCAGCCTGGTCCCCCGCCACCCCCCACCTTGAACCCAGCCGCTTGCTGGCTTCCAGTCACGGAGGGAGAGACAATATCGGTTGCCAACGCAAAGCAGGATGCAACAGAAATATATGTCCTTCCAGAGGCCAGAAGGTCATGGTCATGGTCACGGTGTGGGCAGGTTTGGCTGCTCCCGGGGGCCTTTCTTTGGCTGGACAGCTGTCTTCTCCCTGAGGTTCCCTGCTCTTGTCTATGTGGGTGCAAATCTGTGCTCTTTTTCCTCTTCTTCTTCTAAATATTTTTATTGATTTCAGAAAGACAGGGAGAGAGAGAGAGAGAAACATCCATGATAAGAGAGAATCATGGATCGGCTGCTTCCTGCACACACACACACCCCCACTGGGGATCAAGCCTGCAACCCAGGCACGTTCAACCCTGGCCAGAATGGAACCCGGGACCCTTTAGTCCGCAGGCCGACGCTCCATCCACTGAGCCACGCTGGCCAGGGCCCAGTTGTGTATTTTATTCCTACGGTGCCTCTCGGTTTGGGCTGGTCACCTGGTTAGTAGACCTTTGGGGCTCGTGGCTGTCACACTGGACTCTGAGCCCCTCCAATCCCACACAGCTGAGCAGCAGTCCAAGGTACACAGGGAATGGGAGTCAACAAATGGTTGCCACACGAGGGGGGTCACTGGCACAAGATTCTGTCCTTGACCCTGTTCTGTTTATCAACGAAATTGGTGGCTTTGGCCCTGACCGGTGTGGCTCAGTAGATAGAGCGTCGACCTGCCAACTGAAGGGTCCCAGGTTCGATTCCGGTCAAGGGCATGGACCTTGGTTGCAGGCACATCCCCAGTAGGGGGTGTGCAGGAGGCAGCTGATTGATGTTTCTAACTCTTTAATTCCTCTCCTTTCCTCTCTGTAAAAAAAATCAATAGAATATATTTTTGAAAAGAAAAGAAAAGGAAAGAAAAGCAATCAGTGCCTTGGATACTCTGGTGATTGAAGAAGCCACTCTGAAGAGCTCCAGGATGGCGGTGGCTGTGCCCTGACCGGGAATGGAACCGTGACCTCCTGGTTCCTAGGGTGACGCTCAGCCACTGAGCCCCGCCAGCCGGGCACAGTATGTGTTTTAAAATGACATCACTGCCCCGAGACTTTGAAAGGACGTCGTTCCTCCGGGCTCCATGGAGAGCCACGCCCCGTGTCACCAGCTTCCGGTGATCTTCAGGACCCACAGCGAGGTGACTCAGGGGTGAAAGGAATGCCGGCCAGGGTGGGGGACCAGAGATCAAACGCTTCCTCACTCCCACGCCAGCACAGGTGTCACCCTTCGGGAGACACCCGCCTATTAAGGAGGCGGATAAATAAACGCCTGGCATCCCGAGGTGTGACTTGATGTGACTCGGCGATTAGCGGAAGGCGAGGCTCGGGGTGAGGTGGAGGATTCTGGGCGGTAACAGGTGACCTCAAGTCACACTGCCTGAGCAGGGCCTTCTCCTGGCCCGTCTCACTCAGGGGCCAGGGGCCCGCGGAGACATCTGCCAACCTTAAAAGCAAGGGTTCTGCCCCACCAGCGTGGCTCAGTGGTGGAGCGTCGACCTAGGAACCAGGAGGTCAGGGTTCAATTCCCCGTCATGACACATGCCCACTTGCATGCTCGGTCCCCAGTGTGGGGCATGTAGGAGGCAGCCGATCAGTGATTCTCTCTCATCATTGATGTTTCTCTCCCTCTCTCTCTCCCTCTCTCTCTCCCTCCCCCTCTCCCTTCCTCTCTGAAATCAATAAAAAAAATTTTTTTTAAAAAAACAACAAGGGCCGAAACTGGTTTGGCTCAGTGGATAGAGCGTCTGTCTGCGGACTGGGGGATCCCAGGTTCGATTCCACTCAAGGGCATGGACCTTGGTTGCCAGCACATCCCTGTTGGGGGGTGTGCAAGAGGCAGCTGATCGATGGTCCTTTCTCATCGATGTTTCTAACTCCTTCTCCCTCTCCCTTCTTCTCTGTAAAAAAAATCAATAAAATATATTTTTTTAAAAAGAAGAAGCGAGCGGGGGGCGGATCCGGGACAAAAGTGGGCGGTGCTGGAAGCCAGCGGGGGCGGGGCTGTAAGTCCTCGGGGGCGGGGCTGTAAGTCGGAAGGGGCGGGACTGGAAGTCGGCGGGGGCGGGACTGCAAGTTAGAGGGGGCGGGGTTGGCTCCAGGGCGCGCGGGATTGGACGAGACGGGGGGGGGCGGGGCGCGCGGGAAAAGTGGGCGGGGCTGTAAGTCGGAAGGGGCGGGGCTGGAGGTCTGCGGAGGCGGGGCGGGGGAGGCTACAGGGCCCGCGGGACGGGGCGGGGCGGGAAGTGGGCGGGGCGCCGCCGGGAACCGGGGGGCGGGGGCGGGGTTGGCGGCCGGGGACCCGGGGCTCGGGCCGGGGCGCTGGCGGGGTGCGTGGCCGGCGCGCGATGAGCGGGGCCGGCGCGGCGCGGGAGGCGGCGGGCGCGGCGCGGGGGCCGCGCGTGGACGGGCTGCCGCCGCCGCCGCGGGGCCTGAGCGGGCTGCTGCGCTCGGCGGCGGGCGGCGCGGGCGGCTGGCGGCGCCTGGAGCGGCTGTACGCGCAGAAGTCGCGCATCCAGGACGAGCTGAGCCGCGGCGGGGGCGGCGGGGCCCGGAGCGCGGCGCGGCCCCCCAAGCCCCCCAACCTGGACGCCGCGCTCGCCCTGCTGCGCAAGGAGATGGTGAGAACGGGGGGCCCCGCGGGCGGAGGCGGGGGGATGGCGAGATCGGGGGGCCCCCGCGCTCCGCTCCGGAAGTCCCCGCGCCCCCACCCCGCCCCCTTTCTGGATTGGGGGCCCCGGGAGCCGGCCCGGGAAGACGGGCGCTGCCCTCTCCACTAATCCCCCTTTTCTCCCTTCTTTTTCTTGTTTGAATAAGTTTTTATTGGCATTTTAGAGAGGAAGGGAGAGAAGCAGGAACATCGACGGGAGTGCTGCCTCCTGCGAGCCCCCGCCCCCCCCCCCCGCCCCGGGGCATGTGCCCCGACGGCCCGGGCATCGAACCGACGGCCTCTTGGTTCCCGGGTCGACGCTCCGCCCCAGAGCGCACCGGCCGGGCTCCACGACCCCCTTGGCTCGCCCTCTGTGTGCTCACCATTTGTCCCATCGCCTGGGGTGTGTGTGTGGGTCCCCACTCTCCAGGGTCCGCCTTCAGAGACCCTCCCCCCCCACACCAGTCCCGCCGGTTCGGAACCTCCCGGCGACTTCCCGGGTGGGGATCCGTGCCCCGCGCGTCCCGGGCCCGGGTTGGGGAGGGGGTGGGGGGCGCAGAGCTGGGTGCCCTGGCGTTCTCCTGCCCCCAGGAGGGCAGCTTTGTCCGGCGAGTGTGGACGGCGGATGGGAGCTGCCCCGGCCCCCTCCCCGCTCCCCGGGGGCGCGTGCGGGGTCCGGTTACCGCTTGGCGGGGCGGGCGCCCCCATCCTGTCTGTCTACGCGCCCGGCCCGCCCCGGCAGCTGCGCCCTCGGGTCTGGGGGTTGTGTCTGGGCTCCAGACAATGGGGCTCAGTCTTGCTCAGCTCTGGGGTGTCTGCGGAGCAGGACGCGGGTTAGGGGACGCGGAAAGCGGGGCCAGGGCAGGGATTTAGGGTGTCAGCCAGGCCAGGCGAGGCCAGGACGGAAACCTGCCTCCTTTCCAGCCCTCTTGTGGGCCCGGGTCACCTTCCCCACCGCTGGCATTGCTTTTAGAATCTGCAGGCCCAGGTGGGTACTTCATGTAGGAAATCAAATACACACCAAGTGGCCAGATGATGGTGAACTCTGGATGCATCCTATAGAATAAAAGGTTAATAGGCAAATTGTCCCCTCGACCAGGAGTTCCACCAGCAGACAGGCCAGCCAACCGCCCATGTCCACTCCCCCTGGCCAGGCTGGCTGGACCCCACCCATGCACGCATTCGTGCATTGGGCCTTATAAATATAATATCAGCAGTCTTCGTATATACACATATATATCCAAACTGAGTGGCCAGATTATTATGCGTTGAGAGAGCATCATCATCGGTGTATATACACGAAGACTGCTGCTCTCTCACCCAAGAATACATCTTCCAAATCACTGACCACAGGAATCCTTTATTCATCTAGAGATTGGTGACCGACACCCAGTGGGTGCGTTCTTTCCTTAAAGGCTCCCGTCAGTTCTGAGAACGGAGACCTCATTAAACATAGTAGACGGGCAAGCAGCCTGCACTCGTTCCCATCCATTAGGTTCTGCCCTCTCCCCCTTCGTCCAGGCCTGGACCGGGATTTCCAAGCCCCTCTGAGAAGGTTCTCGAAGCTGCTTACTTCCAATGACTCTTAATCCCCAGCGGATTCTGTGGACGGAACTGGGTTCGGATTAGAGAACAGGACTCGGCCTGCTGTGTCAGAGGGAGGGTGCCTGTGGGGGTGAAATAGGAAGGGCCCCCCTCCCTACCCCCCTCTGCCTGCTCGCAGGCAGGAAGCCCTGGGGGCCGCTCCTCTGCGGCTGCTGCCTGCTTTGTAAACAGGCTCTGAAAGTCCTATTGTGGCCGCTGGCCCAGCGAGCCCTGCTGGGAAGTCATTTTCCAGGTTCCTGGGGGGGGTTGTGGGGTGCCGGGTGCAGGGAGGGGGGGGGGAAGGGGGACGGGGATCAAGTTTAGCCTAACCTTGCCATGGTGCCTCGGGCGGGCCAGGGCCCTAAGTTTCTTTAGGGCACAAGGAAAATAAACAGCACTGGAGGTCTGTCTGTCGGGCCCTCTGATATTTGGCTGAGATAAAGAAAAGGGAGGAGGGGCTACGGGCCTTTAGAGAAGCCGCCAGGTCTTTGAAAGTCCGCGATGTTTTGGCTTGTTAAGAGATTTGCTAACTTTGGGACGAGGCTGCGGAGTCTCGAACGGGATTATTTGCGGAACACGCAGTGTGCTGGTCTGTTCCGTCTGAAGGCCCGAGGTCCCCTCTGTGTCTGGGGATGCAGGCAGAATGTGATGGAACCTCCTTTTTTTTTAATTTTTAAAATTTATTTAGCTCTGGCCCGTCTAGCTCAGTGGGTAGCGTGCCGGCCCTCAGAGGGAAGGGTCCCAGATTGGAATCGGACCAAGGGCAGGTACTGAGGTGGCAGGCTCCATCCCTGGGCCCTGGTTGGGGTGGGGGTGGGGGGACGCGTGTGCAGGAAGCAACCCGTGGATGTTTCTCTCTCACATCGACGTTTCTCCCTCTGTCTCTCCCCCGCTCCCTTCCACGCTCTCTAAACATCCTTGGAAAAAGCCCTGTGCCTTACAGAACGAGGGCTGGGCCCCCGGAGGCGGCAGGATCTTCACCGGGAGAGGCCAGGGCTGCAGGCAGGAAGGGAGTGTCCCCTCCCGGGAACAGCCTGGGGAGGCACGTGAGCCCCAGAGGCGCTGGGACGGAGGCCAGGCTTGGCCCGGCCCCAGAGGGCCGGGGAGGGGTTGACGCAGGAGACCGCACCGGCCTGGGGTTCGAGGGCAGGTGTAGGAGATGCCACAGGTGTGCACGGAGGAGGGGAGAGCCTCCAGCCGGGTGGGGGGCCCGTGAACGGGGGGCCAGACCCTGGCGGGAGATCCTTCTCTTCAGCAGGATCAGCAGGAATGGCCGATTCGATATTCAGAGTCCGGGGGAAGGGGGGAGGGGAGGGGAGGGATGAAAAGGAATCAGAGGTGACCTCGGCTGGCTTTTTATGGAAAGTGCCGTGAGGCAGAGCAACAATTCAAAAGGGCCCACAGTCCCAGCACCTGGAGAGAACCCTGCCAGTATTTTGGGCTCAACCCCTGAGCCGGCGCTCTATCCACTGAGCCACACCGGCCAGGGACCGACTGTAGATTTTAGAGGCCAGGTGGGTAAGGAGGCCCTCCCAACTCCACGGAGACTCAGGCCCCGGTGTGAAAGCGGAATCACTCCGGGGCCCGGGCAGAAAGCCTGCCTGTAGACCACGGCTTCTGCACAGGAAGCCAGCCAGGGCCCGGCCCCGTGAGATGCTCCCCGTCTCGCCCCACTTCCTCCTCCGAGCCCCGGCCTCCTGGCCACCCCCTTCTTTGTTCCAGATGTTTCCAGGGGATAAGCAGCCAGGCTCGTCCGGTGGCTCCGTCTCTCCTGATGCTCGTTCCTTCACGGACGGTGAACACAGGGGTTTATTCTCGCCCCCAAGAACCTGGGAGAATGACAGCCCGTGGTCTTCCTGTTAAGATGGGCGGCCTTTTCCGTTTTTTTAAGGATATATTTTTATTGCCCTAGCCGGTTTGGCTCAGTGGATAGAACATCAGCCTTAGGAGTGAAGGGTCCCAGGTTCGATTCCAGCCAAGGGCACATGCCTGGGGTTGCAGGCTCGATCCCCAGTAGGGGGCATGCAGGAGGCAGCCGATCCATGATTCTCTCTCATCACTGATGTTTCTCTCTCTCTCTCTCTCTCTCTCTCTCTCTGCCTCTCCCTTCCTCTCTAAAATCAATAACAAATATATTTTTAAAAAGATAGATTTTTTTTTTATTGATTTCAGAGAGGAAGGAAGAGGGAGAGAGTCAGGGACGTCAATGATCAGCTGCCTCCCGCAACCCCTACTTCTGGCATGCGCCCCGACTGGGATTCGAACCCGGGACCCTTCTGTCCGTAGGCCGACGCTCTATCCACTGCCACAGAGCCAAACCAGCGAGGGCGTCTCTTAAAGTTTTTATTTATGAGAACTTTCTGTTCGCTCCCTGACGGGCCCTCAGCGCCGGGCGCTGGCCTAGTTTTGCAGACACGAGCATCCTGTCTTCACGGATCGGCGAGGGAGGGAGGGCTGTCCCTGACCGGTCAGGTGGAGAAGGGAGGTCTCTGTTTTGTCCTCTGACCAGGGTGGCTCCAGGGGAGGGATGGCTCCAGCCCGGAGGCCCGGCTGCGGAAGGTTACAGTAATGCGTGTGGAGGCTGGAGACCGTGACAAGAGGGTGTTTTTATTAGGTTGTTGACTGTACTCAGAATCGGAGGCAGAACAGCCACCGCTCCACAGTGTTAAAGAGAGATGACAGGCTATTTAACATCCCTTATAAAAAATAAAAAAAAATACCGCAGGTTTGCAAATGAAAACAGTGAGCTGCCATGTAACGGACCAGCAAAGATTTAAAAGAATGATCATGCCTGGCTGGTGTTGCTCAGTGGTTGAGCGTTGACCTAGGAGCCAGGAGGTCACGGTTCGATTTCCGGTCAGGGCACAGGCCCGGGTTGCGGGCTCCACCCCCAGTGCGGGGCGTGCAGGAGGCAGCCGATCCATGATTCTCTCTCACCATGGATGTTTCTCTCCTTCCCTCTCTGAAGTCAATAAAATATATATATATATGATATATATTTAAAATAGTTCTTTGCTGCCCTAGCGGGGTTGGTTCAGTGGATAGAACGTTGGTCCATGGATGGAAGGGTCCCGGGTTCGATTCTGATCAAGGACAAGACTCTGTTGCAGGCTCCTCCCCGGCCTTGGTCCGGGCGCATGGGGGAGGCAACCCATCGATGTCTCTCTCACGTGGGTGTGTCTCTGTCTCTTCCCCTCCCTTCTGGTCTCTAAAAATCGGGGGTGGGGTGGGGGAGGGATATTCTCGGTGAGGATTAACCAAACAAACAAACACACAAGAAAAAAAGAAGAGTTATTTTCGGAATCCAGCTGTGAATGAGATCAGCCGTCCTCCGGGGACGCGTGGGGACCACAGGCTTCCTGTGCTGGTCGATTGGGGGGGACAGTGGTGGAAGCGAGTGGGCACCCGCACCCCTACTTTTTCCTGAAAGGATGAGGGATTTTTTTCTCGTGCGGGGTGTTATCGGTCCTGATGTCAGAGAGGAAGGGAGAAGGAGAGAGAGAGAAACATCCATGATGAGAGAGGATCATGGATCGGCCGCCTCCTGCACGCCCCACACTGGGGATGGAGCCCACAACCCGGGCCTGCGCCCTGACCGGGAACCGAACCGTGACCTCCTGGTTCATGGGTCGAGACGCTCAACCACCGAGCCACGCCGGCCGGGCAGGAAGGAGGCTTTAAGGGGACAGCCTGGGGGTGGGGGCTCAGCCTGACCCATGGCAGGAGGTGCAGATACGGGACCACAGGCCCCTCAGGGATGCCCAGCTTCCCTCTGGAAGATGCCCGGGCCAGGCGCAGGCGAGTCCTGGCTGGGAGGCCAGGTTTGTCCCTGCAGCTCCTCACCCCGTGCCCTACCCTTTGGGAGGGTTTCTGGGAGATGGAAGGCAGTTTGGTGCCCGGAGAGGCAGGGACTGGGCTGTGTGTGGGCGCGGAGTGCACGTCTGTGTGTGTGTCTGTGCTCGAGGCCCTGCCCAGTCCGTCTGAACGCTTGGCATCTGCCGGGTTGGGCGGGAGATGTGAGCCAGGCCAGCCGCACTCCCGGGCGGGTCAGCCTGTTTCTAGGCCAGCAGAGGCTCCGCCGGGGCGGGCGGGCGGGCAGCCTGTGAGTCAGCGGCGGCTGCAGGCAGCGGGCCGGGTCTCCTCCCGGGACACCTTGGCAATGGCATCTCCAGGGAAAAGCCTGGGGTGTCAGAGCGCCCAGGCCTGGGAGGGTGCCGGTCAGCGCGGGTCCGATGGCATACCCCCCCCCCCTTTCTGTCCTGTCCGCCATTCATTCCCGGCCGGATCCCCCAGCTGACCGATGGCAACTGAGTGGCTTAGGAATGTGATCTTCCAGACGAACATTTTCTGTGACTTTTCAAATATATATATATATATAATTGATTTTTTACTGAGAGGGATAGAGAGTTAGAAACATCCATGAAGAGAAACATCCATCAGCTGCCTCCGGCACACCCCACACCGGGAATGTGCCCGCAACCAAGGCACATGCCCTTGACCGGAATCAAACCTGGGACCCTCCAGTCCGCAGGCAGACACTCTATCCACTGAGCCAAATCAGTTAAGGCTATATACTTTTTTATTGATTTAAAAAAAAATGTTATTTTTATTTTTAGGGAGTGGGAGGGGATGAGAGAGACATCAGTGCTTCCCAAATGCATCCCACCGGTGGGTCAAACGTCAAACCCAAAACCTGGGTATGTGCCCCGATTGGGAATCGAACCAGCCACCTTTTTGGTGGTGTATGTGACTGATGCTCTGACACCTCCTGCGACTTTCTGAGCAAATACTGGTGTGACTCCCGGAGGGTGTGACTTAACGTTATCTAAGTTTATGCTCCTTGTCATAAATCCTGGGAAAGACGGGCTGAGTCAGGGTCTCGTGGTTGGGTGGTTGTGTTCACACCCGGACGTGGGAGACGGAGCACTGAGAGAGTCCCGAGGGGAGGGTGGGCGGCAACAGACCCAGCGCCCTTGCAAACACCTGGGAGGACCTGAGGGTATTCACTGGGGAGGACTGACGCTCTTTCTCCAGGGGGGAGCCGGGTAGAGTGAACATCGCCTTCAAACATTTCAAAGGTGCTTGAGAAAGAGGAAGTAGGTTTGCATGTGCAATGGTTACTCTGGCGTGGCTGAGGGGTTGAGCATTGACCTAGGAACCAGGAGACCACGGTCAGGGCACAGGCCCGGGTTGTGGGCTTGATCCCCAGTGAGGGGCATGCAGGAGGCAGCCGATCCAGGATTCTCTCTCATTGCTGATGGCTCTCTCTCTTTCTCTCTCTCTCTCTCTCCTCCCTTCCTCTCTCTGCTGCCCCAGGGTAGACAGTGACTGTCCCAGGGGCCCCTCTGACTCTGATCACAGCGAGAGGCCGGGACACACCTGTACCTGTCTCCACGCCCCTGGAGGAACCAGCGGGGCCTCCCGCCTGTGCAATGCAGGGCGTGCCGGTGAATTCCGGGACCCACCCTGCCTGGTGGAGCCAAGCCTGAGGTGTGGGCATCCATCACGCCTCGGTTCCGGCGGCTCAACCCTGCCGTGCCGGCGCCGCCCTGAGCCGTCGGTGCGGGAGGCGTGTGCCGGCGGAGCAGGCCCAGGCGGGCGCCGTGGCTCCCCGGACCGGAGCCTGCAGAACTGACGTCTCCTCCCCCCCCTCCCCTCCCGCCCTGTCTCCCCAGGTCGGCCTCCGGCAGCTGGACATGTCGCTGCTCTGCCAGCTGTACAGCCTCTACGAGTCCATCCAGGAGTACAAGGGCGCGTGCCAGGCGGCCGCCAGCCCCGACGGCGCCTACGCCCTGGAGAACGGCTTCTTTGAGGAGGAGGAGGAGGAGGAGGAGGAGTTCTTCCAGGAGCCCGGCCTGCCCAGGGACTCCAGGGACCCAGTGGGTCCCCTCTCCGGCAGCGACTGGATTCTGGAGTCCATCTAGGGGGTCTCCAGAGGGTCCCGCCCCCGCCCGGGCCCAGGGCCAGCATGTTGCTTCTCTGGCAAGCGGGCACCTCTGCGTCTGCGCTGGGCGGTCCGGTCTCCAGGCGCCTGGGACCAGGGCCAGCTCCGTGGGCAGGGACCCCGGTGGCCGTCGGTGGCGGTGGCGGGGGCGGGGTTCCTGTTTGGCGAAGAGGAGGTGCCGGGCGGCACCCTGGACGCCTGGGGATGGGACGGAGGGCCCCGGCGAAGATGCTCACGGCGTCACAGGGTTTCCTGCGAGAGGACTCCGGGCTGGGGAGGCCCCGACAGCTGGCGGATGGTCCACACCCCCTGTCGAGGGGGTTCGAGATGTACCAGAGCAGCCTCTTCTGCTGTTTCCAGAGCTTTCTCTCTCTGTCGGCTGCGTCAACGTCGGGGTGACCTGGCGACAGGTGACAGCTCGTTCCGGACACAGCAAGCGTTGCGGGTCGGGTCACACCGGCCGCTGCATTCTCCCGTGGAAACACGTCTCGCTCGGTCGGCTGGCGGAGGGAGGAGGACGACGGGAGGGCCTGCCGAGGGGGGAACAGGGCGAAACGGGGGGCAGACGTTCCTGTCTGCAAAGATTCTGGATGTTTTACCCGGGGTGTGAGAGAGCACAGCCCCTCTGCACTCAGAAACAGAGATCACCGCGAGCCTTAATCTATTTATTCGGAGCCTCTATGAACTCGTCACACACGTTGTAGGTGGAAGGGAGGAGGATAAAGTACGTTGAACTCTGCCTGTGGTGGTGTCTTTCTTTGGGCCTAAAAAAATTAGAATCCGCTTCCGGAGCTGGAAGGCGCTGAATCGAATCGGACACGGGGAGGAAGTGGCAGTCTGTGTTCTTGTCTCTGTTCCCCTGCCGGCTGCTTCCTGGACGTGTGTCCCCAGTGGGTGGTTTGCAGGGAGGTCTCAGGGCTGCTGGGCCTTTTTTTTTTTTTTTTTTTTTTAACGGTTAATCCTCTCCCGAAGATATTTTTCCACTGATTTTTAGAGAGAGTGGAAGAGAGAGAGCAAGACAGAAACACATCGATGGGTTGCCTCCTGCACATGCCCTGACCAGAGGAACGTGCCCTTGACTGGAATCGAACCCAGGACCTTTCAGGCCGCAGGCTGACGCTCTATGGCCTATTGGGATGGGGCCTTTAATACTCTAACCCCCTGCTCCTCTCCTTTTTTGGGGTGGAGATTGCTACTGGCACCTCTTTCGTGGCGCAGAGGGGAGGGGAGCCTCCTCGGGAGCGTGTGCTGGCGGCCTGTGTGTGCAGGGCCCGGCGTCGGGAACTGGGCGAGGTGCTGGGAGGAAGCACGTTCCTGCTCATTTCCTGCGTTGAAAGGAGCAGCTATGAGGGGGGGAGAAGGGGTGGCTTTCAGCATGTGACATGTTGTCCAGTGGGGACAAGAAATCGAAAGTGAGAAGACCAGCCCTAGTCTGTCTGGCTCAGTGGGTAGAGCATCGGCCTGTAGACCGATGGGTCACGGGTTCGATTCCAGTCAAGAGCATGTACCTCGGTGGCAGGCTCCCTCCCTGGCCCTGGTCGTTGCACGTGCAGGAGGCAAGCCATTTGTGTTTGTCTCCCCCCTCCCTTCCCCTCTCTCTGAAAAATCAGTGGGAAAATGTCTCTGGGTGAGGATTAACAGAAAAGAAAAAAGGAAGTGAGAAGGCCACACCATCTCTGGCCCGCCTGGACCTATTGAATTGGGCCTGTCTTTTTAAAATTTATTTTTATTGGTTTCAGAGAGGAAGGGAGAGGGAGAGAGGGAAGCATCGATGACGAGTAAAGACAGGCTGCCTCCTGCCCGCCCCACACTGGGGGTGGAGCCCACAGCCTGGACATGTGCCCTGACCGGGAATCGAACCGTGACCTCCTGGTTCATAGGTCGAAGCTCAATCACTGAGCCACGCCAGCTGGGCCCCTATTTATTTAATTCCTCTTTTTATTATTCTGTTTCACGAACAGTAAGTTACCCCTTTCTTAACAAGGGGAAATAGACCCAGAAACCCCCACTGAACTGGGTGCACAGACAACGTGGTCCCAGGGGTTGGTCCCCTCATAGACCAGGCTTAGAGGCCAAGGTCTTAGTCCCAATGTTGCCACCATATAACCATCCCTAAGTACATCCCTTAACCATCCTAAGCTTTAGTTTCTTCATTAAAGACTATGATTTACAAACGACGTTTTAGCTCAGTGGTTGAATGTCAACCTCTGAACATAGTTCAATTCCCAGTCTGGGTTGCAGGCTGGATCCCCAGTGTGGGGCGTGCAGGAGGCAGCCGATCCATGATTCTCTCTCATCACTGATGCTTCTATTTCTCCCTTTCCCTTCCTCTCTGAAATCAATAAAAATGTATTTTAAAAATAAGTAAAAAATATTTTTTAAGTGTTTTCGCCTTTTATTCTGTCTTGTAAATATCTAAAAACATTCTTTCTTTGGCTCATATAGACAGCACGATGTTTTCTTCCAAATTTAGCTCAGAGGGCTTCAGACCGGGATAGAAAACCTTGGAACAAAAGACCCCTTGTCCATGTTTCATGTGCCTCATTCGTGTCAACATAGTGCTCTCACTGAGCGCTTCTGGCTCATGGCTATGTTGGAAACTCAGCGGCCACCAGGGGGTGCTGTCAGTGTAGCCACCGTCTGCCCCAAGACAGAAGGCTGAATGCCCATGCTTTTCAGCATATGGGATATCTAAAAGGGATTTAGCTTGGCTGGTGTGGCTCAGTGCCCACCCATGAACCAGGACGTCATGGTTCAATTCCTGGTCAGGGCACTTGGGTTGCAGGCTTGATCCCCGGTGTGGGGCGTGCAGGAGGCAGATGATCAGTGATTCTCTCATCATTAATGTTTCTCTCTCACACTCTCCTTTCCTCTCTGAAATCAATAAAAACCTACTTTAAAAAAATAGAGGGTTTTAACTTTTATACCTTCGAGTGGTTTTCCATATAAATGCCTTGTTGGTTGTTAGTAGGCCACATCCCAAGGAGTGAAAGAACAAATGAGTGAAACAGGAGGAGAGAAAAGGGGCGAGGTAATATTGATTTAAGAACAGCTTCATTGAGGTATAATCCACTCCTGTAAAGTGTACCACTCAGCTGTTTTTAGTTATTTATTTCTGGATCTGTTCATTTGCAAGATAACTTACAGGGAAAGATACTGAATTGAGGATCGACAAAAGCTTATTTTTTTCTACTTTATTAAAAGTCATAAGAATACAAAATATTGTTTTAAATGTGTTGTTTAAGTCAGTAGCAAACATTTAAATGAGAAGGTACAAGAGAGCGACAGGAGACAGATTTGGATGAATCTGAGTGCATGCTCCTCTCTTCATTTAGATGCTTACCTGCAGTGCCTACAAGGTGTCCCTCTTTGCTGGTGCCCCCTTCCTGCAGCAATGCCGTGTGTGTGTGTGAGGTTCCGGTGTTCTGGTGTGTCTGTGCCTGTGCCTGTGGTTTTGTGGTCTCCTGTCGTTGGGGTGAGGGCTGAGGGGGTTAGGGTTGGGGTTTTGAAGGTCATGACCATGGCTTTCTTTCCAGTCTATCTAAGTCTTGGCTTCCTTTTGCTCCACAGGAATGAGGAGTTTGGTTGTATTTATGTCTTCTCTTTCTCAGATGGAGCTGGCCATGCCACAGAGAGTAAAGAATAAAACTGTGGGTGATAAAACAAGTATTTGGAACCGCACGTTCTGCTGAAATCCTAACAGTAAACACTGGTTAGGGCAGGCCGTGTCCTATGGGAGGCAGAGTAACCCGGGCCTGGACTCTGGGCACTGAACTTGACCCAGTTTGTGGGGGGTCAGGCACACACACAGGAACTGTAATTTCAGGCATCCACAGGTGCCAATGTAATGGCGGGTAAAGGTCTTCAAAGCACTGTCAAAGACAGGTGACCTTATTTTCCTAAACAGAAGTCATAGTGGGGCATCGTGTCTGCCATGGGGGCAGCCTCAGAAGATCTGGGAAAGGCACTGGGTCCTGGGCCCTGGGGGTGCGAGGGAGGGAACAGATGGTCGGAAAGGGTGAGGCAAGGTGTTGCAGGGACCGACTTCTGAGTCTGAGATCCTTGCAGGAGTGAATGGGAGCGCGGAGCCAGGGAAATGGTGAGGACGGTTTCGGATGTCCCTGAAGATGATGCAGTGAAGGGCCCTGTGAGGCAATCAGGTGTGTGTGTGTGTGTGTGTGTGTGTGTGTGTGTGAGTGAGTGTGTGTGTGTGTGTCCCCTGTAAGAGCCTCCTTATTCACAGTGACACCTGTCTGCCTGGGGAGGGACCCCTGTGGGCGCAGGCACCAGGCGCCGCTGTACCTCCTCAGAAGTCCTGTGACTTGTAGTCGGCGCAGTCGCTGCCGACATCCCACTCCATCGTCTGGAAGAGGTGGACCATGGCGCTCTCCGTCAGCAGGCCGCACACGATGGCCAGGAAGGACAGCTTGCGGCGGGTGTTGAGCGTCACTGCGGAAGCAAAGGCGCACGGGTAAGGTCTTCAGAGCGGAACGGCAGGGCGCTGTCATGATGACGTGACAGGTGAAAACGTTTTGAAAACTATTGTACATGTACCATGTGGTGAAACTGAACAGATACCGAATACGTGCTATGCAGACCGCACTATACAAATGGTAGGCACTGTCGTTATTCTGTAAAGATTTCCAGCGTTTAACAGGTCATATGAAAACTGTGATCTAGAAATAAAAGGCTATAGCTTTTTAAAAACGTATATATATATATATATATATATATATATATATATATATATTTACTGATCTCAGAGAGGAAGGAAGAGGGAGAGGGAGATAGAAACATCAATGATGAGAATCACTGATTGGCGGCCGCCTGCACACAACCCCTCCTGGGAATGGAGCCTGCAACCTGGGCAGGTGTCCTGCCAGGGAGTCGAACCATGACCTCCTGGGTCATAGGTCAAAGCTCAACCACTGAGCCACACTGGCTGGGCAAAGCCTAGAGGCTTTGTTCCGTGGAAAGCTGAGAAGACGGAGTCGAAGGGACGTACCTCTGATCGCCTGGAAGTTTGAGGTAAGGACAAACAGTCTGATGAGCCGCAGGCACAGCGGCGTGTACTCATGCTCCCAAATGACAGCGGGGATCAGCAGGAGCTTCCCGTAGCTGGACAGCAGCAGCGCCTTCAGCAGCAGCAGGAAGTTGGGGTTCTTCTTCGTTGCGATGGACCGTTCTATCCACAGGAAGGTAAAGATGCCCACAAAAAAGGCAGCTTGTTCTGAAAGAGGAAACGGGAAAGAAAAATCTTACGAATGTCCCAATCCACACAAACCCCAACCCCAAAATACAACGTATTACCAAGAACGATGGTTTTCTCTCTCCCTCTCCCTTCCTGACATCAGTTTAGAAAAAGAGAAAAGCAGGCAAGCAAGCGTGGCCTGCGCCTACCGAGAGACGCGATGGCGAACATTCGGTAGAAATCCCACTCCTTGGCGTATCTGATGAAGTCGTCGGGGTCCGAGTTCTGGCTGGAGTCCTGGAGCTGCCACCACCTCAGGTAGGCTTCACAGAGCAAGCAGAATATGCAGAGTTTTCCGTGCATCTGGCGGTCAAAGACACGGCACCGGCCAGTCAGGGGAAGCAGGGCTTAATTCCACTGGGTGCAGACACGGGGTGTATCTGTGGTTTTGAACATCATCGCCATTCCCAACTGCACATGGGAGTGCATAGCTCAGTGGTCGGCAAACCGCAGCTTGAGAGCCGCATGTGGCTCACGAGCTGCAGTCTGCCGACCACTGGCATAGCTGCATTCAATCTATAAACTGGTGGTTTTTAATTAGCAATGTCTTCAGCAGAATCACATGGGGAGACTTTTCAAAATAAATACCCATGTCTCGGCCCCAGTCCTGATTCGGTCTATGGAAGTATGCTCTGGAACAGCGGACGCCAATGTTTGGGACCTCAGGGAGAACCACCAGTGGGCCCTCGGATCACCAGTTGGCAAATGCTACTCTGGAACGTACTGCATACTTTGCCACAGCTCTGGAGGAAAGGAGGGGGATCTGAATGTGCAGCCCTAGTTAAGAATCACAGCTTTAGCCCTAACCGGTTTGGCTCAGTGGGTAGAACATCGATCAGCTGCCTCCTGCACACTCCCTACTGGGAATGTGCCTGCAGCCAAGGCACTGGGAATGTGCCTGCAGCCAAGGTACATGCCCTTGACCAGAATCAAACCTGGGACCCTTGAGTCCGCAGGCCAACGCTCTATCCACTGAACCAAACCGGTTCAGGGTTTCCAGCTTTAGCAAGTAAAAATACAAGCCACCCACTTCAATGTGAGTTCCAAATCAAACCCCGTCAGACACATACAAGGATAACCAATGAATGCATAAATAAGTGGAATAACAAATTGGTATTTCTCTCTCAAACCAATCTTTTAAAGAGTTCTCAACTCAATACACTAAATGTATATTTGAAAAATCCAACTTTATAAAGGGGGCTGCTGAAGTTCAATACTGTTACTTACCTCATGCATTCCCTCAAGAGCAGAGTATAAAATGGTACAAATGACATTTTAAAATATTTTTCTTTAATGTTTGCTTATTTCTTACAGGTGTAATTCTCTCCCTGTCTGGATATATTTAATTTTATTCTGTAAAAATAATTGATATCTGTTTCAAAGATAACCTACTGAAAGGCAACCCAGATAATGGCTTCTCAGTTTCCTACCGGTGACCACATTCTTCAATATTCACTAACCATGGTGTACTTAACGATTATTTCTAGAAACTTCCACACCTTGCCAAGGGGAAAAAAAAACAAAACCCACCCTCATCAAGATTTCTTTTTTAAGAAAAGGTCCTTTAATTCTGTTCACAATGATTCTTTTAAAATGCAAAAGCATCATCGAGTAAAATTAGGAAATTAAAAAAAAAAATAACTGTCACAACTTACGTTTATTTTAGTATTGAAAAGAATATGTCTGTAGGCCTGGGCTTTGCACAAAATAGCATTAATCAAAATTATCACAGGATCATACTCGATATATTTGTCCACAGCCTTCTGGCAGGATTTCTGAAATAATGCAAAAACAATATGAGAACATTAACCTTTTAAGCTCTCCTTTAAGAAGCTAAAAGGATGTTTGATTTAAAGACCGATTTTAGCAGGAAAGTATCCCAGAAAACTCTTCGTTTGTAGGAACCGTTATACATTTATCGGGTACTTCCCCTGATAAGCGGCTGCCTGTTCGCCCCCAACGTTGTGGTTCTTGAAACATGATTTGGAGAAAAGGGTTCAGAAAGGAACGCTGCACCCAGAGCTCCCGAGACCTACAACCCGTAAAGAATGTGGTGCCAGGCGTGGCTCAGTGGTTGAGGGTCAACCTGTGAACCAGGAGGTCAGGCTTCAGATTTCCAGTCAGGGCACATGCTCAGGGTGAGGGCTCCAGTCCCAGAGTGGGGTGTGCAGGAGGCAGCCAATCCATGATTCTCTCTCCCTCTCCCTTCCTCTCTGAAATCAATAAACACCTATTAAAAAAAAAAAAAGTAGCATTTCTGGTCTCTCAGTCTCATTCATACGAAGAGATCCTAAACATGGGTTATGGAGTGTACGAATGCTACGCCACTTGTCTGCCAAAGGGAGAATATCTAGAAATAAAACAGCTTTTAGTGCGAACCCAAATGTCAGCCTAATCTGATCTTTTTAATTTCTCTGCATCCATGTCCGCCCGAGGCCCGTTCGCCGGGTTAGGGCTCACCCACCGGCAAACAGGACCCCCCAAGAGAACAGCAGGGCGCGGTAGTGAGTCCCCGGTCACTACATGTATTCAAGGGAAGGCGTGACCGACCTCGGACAGGTTTTGCTGAGCATCCAACTGAAGACTGTCTTAGAAGATCCTGACACTCGATTCTTATCACCCTCAAAAAAGCTGGTACAGCCGAAACCGGTTTGGCTCAGTGGATAGAGCGTTGGCCTGCAGACTGAAAGGTCCCAGGTTCGATTCCGGTCAAGGGCATGTATCTGGGATGCGGGCACATCCCCAGCAGGAGGTGTGCAAGAGGCAGCTGATCGATGATTCTCTCTCATCGATGTTTCTAACTCTCTGTCCCTCTCTCTTCCTCTCTGTAAAAAAAAAATCAATAAAATATTTTTTAAAAAGCTGGTACAAATTGGCCCCCAAATCTCGCCACTCCATTTTCTCCCCTAAGGACCCCCCTTTCCCCCCATGGGACCACTCACGCAGATGGTTATCTTCAGCACCCCGTGGTTATAGTCTCGGTACAGCTCCTTGGCCTCCTGGTTGCACTCGATGCACCTGTACTGGCAGGAGGCCGAAGCGGCGGCGGCGGCGGCGGCGGCCGTAGGAGCGGCAGACGCCTCTTCGGGGTTCCCCTTGCCTCCTGTCACCCCCTCGGGGCTCCCCTTGCCGGGCCGCAGCCCACCCCGCCCACCGGTCCCCATCTCTTTGGCCGCTGGTAGCCCAGAACTTCCGATTCAGCGCCGCGGGAAGACGTCAGAAGCCAGAACGGAAGGTCTGCGTCGCGCGGTGCTTGCTGGGACGCGTAGTCCCTCCATCTGAAAGAGGGCCCTCGGAGCTGGCCCAGCGGGACTACAACGCCCAGCAGGCAATGCGGCTCGCCGCCCCGCCCCTTCCCGCCGCCCACCTGCCGGCGGCCGCGGGGTAAGCCTGGGAGGCCGGCAGCGCCCGGCGAGGGCCGCCGCACATGCGCCGTGAGGGAAGATGGCACCTGCCGGCTGCCGCTGCCGCTGCCGCTGCTGCTGCCGCCGGGGAGACGCTGCGGCCGCCGCCGCTCGGCGCGTGCTGGTGCCGCCGCTGCTGCTGCTGCTCGCGGTCCTGCCGTCCGGGAGGCCGGGCGCGCTGGCCACCGAGCACTACACGCCGCTGTCGCTGCTCAAGCAGGAGCTGCAGCACCGGCAGCAGGAGGCCCCGGCGGGCGGCGGCGGCTGCAGCCCGCAGTCCGGGGACTGGGGGGACCAGTTCTCGGCCGAGTGCGGCGGTGAGTGCGCGGCGGCGCCGGGGGGGTGCCGGGGCCGTGGGGGCTGCCGGCCGGCTCCACGCGGTGTCACGCCGGGGCCGCTTCCTGCCGCGCGCGCCCCGGGCCCCGGAGGCGGCCTGGGAGGGCGGTGAACGGAGCCGAGAGCGGACCCCAGGCTCCCGGGCCAGGGGCGGCCTCTCCCGAGTCCCAGCAGCTGCGGGAAGGGAGGGCGGTGGAGGAGCTGGCAGGCGGCCGGGGAAGCCCCCGGTTCCCGCCCCGGAACCCCCTGGGGTGCCGTGGGGACCAAGGGAGGGACAGACGGATGGGGACCCCGCGCCGGGCAGCAGGGATGCCTGGCCCATGGTGAGGCCTGGAAATCGGGGTGTCCCGACGACTCCCCAGGCGGCTGCGTGTAGGAAATAGCCTGTGCCATTCGATCCCCTGGAAAGAAGGAGGGGAACCGAACCGCCCGTCGTATCTGCTGTCGGCATCTCGCTTCCGGTTGCTGCTGGATGGACCTGGGACCTGTCAGGTGTGTCTCCCCGGAGGTGAAAAGGGCCCCGCGGGCCTCCAGCCGTCGTGGGACCGCTCATTCATTGCGCTGGGCGCCCTTGACCTCCCTGGAATGAATGGGCCGTGAGGGGTGCCGCAGAGGAGCGACTTAGAGAACCGGTTTTTGAAGTTCTGCAGCGGATGCTTTCACCCTTCAGCCGCCGCCCCCCTCCTCTCCCCCCCTTCCCTGGACTGAGTCGCCTTAAGGCTCACTTTTCAAAGGTCTGAGTCCACCTCCCTCTCTCGTAGGAAGTGGCGTGAGAGCCGTGTTCGTGGGCATTCTGTACCTGGAAGACAATAGTATTTTATTATCATTATTTTTTTTGGTTGAGATGAGATGTCAAGATTAGCACACACACTGATTTCCTTTTCGCACCGCCTGACTTCCTGGAGGAAGTCCCCGTTCCCCGAGGGCTAGGCCGCTTGCTTTATTATTGTGGATGTAGCATGTAGCTGCAGACTTTGGCTAGTGACGGCATGCACCGCAAGGCCAGCCTGTCTCGCCTTGGAATGGGTTTTATGATAGATTAAATAGAGAAGGTAGCCGGACACTGGGATGGCAGGACACAGGCTTTATTGGAGAGAAGAGTCCCCCTGCCGGCTGCTTCCAGAGAGAGAGAGAGCGGAAGAGAGCGAGGGCTGGGGTACCAGCACCTTGAAGGATAGGGGACGGGGCTTAGGGCACTCAGCACACGCTGATGGGTGATTAGGGACCCAGGGATTTAGAAATCGGGGGCTCAGGGTATTTGGCAGGTGCTGATGGGTGGTTAAGAGCTCAGGAATGTCCGGCTGCAGGTGGGGTTTACGTCTGTCCATCAACTGGAGGAAGGGAGGGTCTATCATTTCATACTTCGTGGCTCTCTGTGAATGGGAACAAGCCAGTGGCCTGCCTTTGCAAAAGGGTCTCCCCTCTAAGGGGAAGACACTGTGACCTAAGGACAGGGTTTTCTCTTCTTCGGCAAGAGTGCGTGCGGTGAGGGAAATGAGAAATCGCTAACCTATCCGAGCGCTTGCTGTGTTGTCAGAGTTGAGGGCGGTCAGCCTCTGCTCTCCGTCGATCAGGACACCCGTAACCGCAGCACAGATAGGAGGGTGGTTCCTGTTTCGGGTGAAACCACCTCTTTCCTGCGGCCCCACAGCTGCCAGTAGAGGAGCCCAGGTGGTTAGGCCCCCGGATAAAACCCTGCTTCACGCTAAGTGGTTGTAGGTGGGAGCACACGTCTGTCGCATTTACTAGCAAATGGTATACACGGAGTGGCCAGATGATGATGATCTCTCTGAACGCATGATAATCTGGCCACTCTGTGTGTGTGTGTGTGTGTGTGTGTGTGTGTGTGTATTAGAGGCCCGGTGCATGCATTCGTGCATGGGTGGGGTCTGGCCAGCCTGTCCAGGGGGAGGGGACATGGACGGTTGGCCGGCCTGCCTGCTGGTCGAACTCTTGGCGGAGGGGACCATTTGCATATTAGCCTTTTATTCTATAGGATAGACACCGAGTGGCCAGATGATTATGCGTTCAGAGATCATCATCCTCTGGCCACTCCGTGTGTATACTGTGTAAATCTTCATTCCCCTTCCCGCCTATAGTATAGCTGAGCTGTGTGATGCTCACTGGGCATCCTAGGCAGTGGAAGAAACAATTGGATTTATATCATCAATTGATGTTATTGATCCAGGTAGATCGTTTTATCCTGTAGCATCAGGCTTATGCCCGTGTGCACCTCGCCCCACCCCCCAATAAAGATAGATGTGGGTTTCCTTTAAAAATTTTTTTTATTGATTTCAGGGAGGAAAAGAGAAGAGAGAGAAATATCCATGATGAGAGAGAATCATGGATCGGCTGCCTCCTGCACGCCCCACAGTGGGGATGGAGCTCCCAGCCCGGGCCTGTGCCCTGACTGGGAGTTGAACTGTGACCTCCTAGTTCATAGGTCAATGCTCAACCACTGAGTCACTCGGGCTGGGCGCATGTGGGTTTTCCTAAACTGAGCTTGTAGAGGAATCATTCTGTCCCTCCTAACTCTCCCTCCTCTGTAGACTAGACACCATTGTCTAACCTTCTCTGCTTGGGAGGAGGCACACTGCCCCAGAAGCTTAAAGCGTAACTTGTTTCAATGTTTCACTTCACTTTGTCTCTCCCCCAGGCTGGACTTCTTTTCTTAGCTCGGAATTTTAAACATGCCATTGCTCATGAGCTTTGCGAGTCCCTCAGCCAACCTCGCAGGCTGACATGCATGTCCCAGCAGCTGCTGACAGGTGCTGGAGGGCCTTTGTCACTGCTGACGTCAGATTGTTCCCAGAGGCCACTGCTGGTGCTGCTTGGGGCTGCGGCTGGCTCTGTGGCTTCCCTGACTGCAGGCTCTGACCAAGTGGTGGAGACGCTGGGACATCTCAGATCGTCAGGATCAGACAGACCTGCACTCACCAGCTAGCATTCAGCTCTGGTTCTGGCCAAGTCCATGAGACTTAACGATGGCCAGTGCAGCCCTAGCTGGTATGGCTGGGTGGATAGAGCGTGGGCCTGCGGACTGAAGGGTCCCAGGTTCAATCCCAGTCAAGGGCACGTGCCTGGGTTGCGGGCTCCATCCTCTGTGTGGGTGTATAGGCGGCAGTTGAGCAATGATTTGCTGTCATCATTGATGTTTCTCTCTCTCCCTCTCTGAAATCAATAACACACACACACACACACACACACAAAATAAGGTGGTCAGTACAGGGGGTATCTTCCTTAATTGAGGGACCAGTAGTTTAAAACAATGAAATCGGTCTGATGGCCCACAGCACTTCAATCCTCAGTGCCTTGGAGGTGATAAGGAATCAGCAGACGGGAGCTTTTGTAATGAGAGCCATTTCCTTTCTTGCTCTGGCTACGAGAAAGTTAAGTAAATTTTTGGCAACTGCGGTAACCCTTACCATTAGTATATTTGCTCAATCCATTATTTCTTTTCCTTGATCCTGATTTTGTGTGTTTGTTGACATATGTACTTTTGTGACAGGTCTCTTCGGAATTTTTTAAATATATTTTTATTGAATTCAGAGAAGAAAGAGAGAGAGACATCAGTGATGAGAGAGACTCTTTGATCAGTTGCCTTCTGCACGACTCCTCTTCGGGATGGAGCCTGCAACCTGGGCATGTGCCCTGAGCGGGAATTGAACCGTGACCTCCTGGTGCATGGGTCAACGCTCAACCACTGAGCCACACCGGCCGGGCCTGCCTGCAGCTTTTGCCTTCAGCCTCTCTCCTTATGCCTGGGATGTCACGCCCTCTTGCCTTCCATCAGCATCACCTGCCTGTAGTACCCCCATCTCGAAAAACAAACAAACAAACAAGTAGCAGGGACGGGACCAGGGCCTTTCCCGCCGTGACCTCATCTCTCTGCAGATTTCCTCAAAGGAGGTTTCACGTGCTCCGCCTCCACCTGTCCAGGGCTCTCTCGAACCTACCCGTCATCTCTGCTGGGGAGGAAACATTTCTCCTTACCCTTCTCGGTTCTGACTGGTCTGAGAGATCGACATGGAACAGATCATCAGGAGAAAAACAAAAATGTCACTTTGTCTGGACGGGCGCCTCCGTAAGGACAGAAGCCACAGGCGGTCAGTCGGTCAACGGAGGCTCATATGCCATCATCCTGCGCTAAGACTTCAGAGGTGAAGAGGGCTGGTCCCGGAGACAGGAAGGACACACGTGTGCTCAGCGTTCGCCCTTCCGTGCAGAGAGCCAGGGACACGGAGGGGACTTGGGACCAGCAGGTCTTGTCAGTTTCTCCCCCAGCCCAGGGCACGCGGCCCCCATTCTGTCGATCTTTCGAGTAACGGCTCTCTCCCGGCGGCTGCGGGCCCTCTGTAAACGCTTTGAGGCCGGTCAGGGAGAGATGAAGACAAACTCCTCTCTTGTCTCCGCACCCAAACTGCTCCTCTCGGGCGGCCGTGGGTGCGGCCCGGAGGAAGGAAGTGGATGGCATTGCCCTGCCGCCCTGTTGGCTGCCAGCACCCAGCGCTGGGGAGGGAGTGGCGGCAGCTGGACCCTGGACCTTGATTGAGTGCCGATGTGGCAAGGCTCGGCTGTGCTCCTCCGTTTTGTGACTTTGAACGTGTCCATTCATTCACGCCGAGCTCATTTCCCCACGCGTCCGAGGAGC